GGTGGGAGAAATCACAGGAAGCTATTTAATTTTCTTAAAAGTCCAGCAACATTAAGCATGTGAATATGTAGCTCTTGTATTAATGACTTAATACGAATGACCTAAAATAAATTGTAAAACTTGATACTGGAAAACTAGCTATGAGCGACCAACATATACACGGCTGAATCTGTGAGCGCGTTGCAAATGGCAGGTGTAAGAAATTGCCGGGAGCATGGATTTAAAAGATTTCCATTATTTAAAAACCCACCTCTAGAATTTCTTGAGATTTATACTATCAGCTGTTCAAAAAAAAAAAAAGAAGAAGTAAGGTTGCAACAAATGTTATTAAAAAGGAGGGGGGGGGGAAAGAAGGCTGAAAGCCTTAATGTCCAATGGAGAGCACGTCCGAGGTGGATTTAATTCATGGCTGCAGGGAAGAAGCTGCTGTCCTCCAAGAGCTTCACCACAGCGGATCTCTTGTAGAGCTTGGCCAGGTCGTAGGCGGTGGCCCCCCGCTTGTTCTGGTGGCCCACCTTGCACTCCGCGCACTCCAGCAGGAACTCCACCACCCGCACATGCCCCTCCCGGGCGGCCAAGTGCAAGGGCAGGTTGCCCTCGTTATCCTCAATGTTAACATCAGCTTTAAACTCCAGCAGAGTCTGCAAAGTGTCCAGAAAACCCTCTCTGGCTACATCATGAATTACAGCGAAGCCAGTACTGTCTTTCAGATTGGGGTTTGCACCGTTAATTAGCAACCTCCTGGCAATTTCGGGGTTCCCGAGTTTCATTACCTGTGAAAGAAAAAGGAGAGTTGAATACCGCGGGGGGTGTTTGCTTCAGCACGGGGTCTCGATCCTCAATTCTTATCTCTGGGTTTTGCCACGGCTTAATCCTCATTTAAAACAGACAGAAGAGCCCCCCTATAAAACTAATGATACACCAGAACATCTAGTTTTAATATATTTTTTTACTAAACTCGGTGAAATTGTGAAAGATGTTATCATTTCGGTGGTAATAGCTTTCTGTCTCAGAGAGATTAATGTCTGAAACAGGCAGTGTGGAATGGGATATAACAACTTTTTTTTTTTTAACGTGGGTTATCTCAGTTTCCTAACATACGAAAATTAAGTATGGTTCGGTTTTATTTGCCTAAGTGTTGAGACACCTTCGCATTACTGTTTAATCTCGTTAAACATCAAATATAGGGTCTCTGAGGAACAGATATTTTACCTCAGCAACAGCAAATGTAGGATGTGTTTTTATAAGCTTTCAGGTGTTTACATTGTCTGTGCATTATCATAAAACAAATATTTGGACTGTACCATAGCTCTGTCTGCTAAGAAAAATAAATGCTAGAAGAAATTTTTCTCCCCAATATTTGTGTTTCATTATGTCACCCAAAAAGGAGAAGTTAAAAGGAATGTTTCAAAGTTCCAGAAGTTTTCTTCTAAAACCAGTATATTATATTATACTTCCACAATTTCACTATAAGCAAACTGTGGTTATATTCTGTTGCTAAAAACATCCTTTTTTTTAAAAAAAAAAAAAAGCAACAACAACAATAATTGGATTTTCTGACTGTTTCTCTCAGGAAAAAAAAAAGCTTCTTTAAATTTTCTCAATTGCATCATAAACTGTCATAATTAGAACGCAAATCTCTCCTATTTGGGACTTAACAGCTTGCACCGATTTTCCCCAAATTCCTCATTTTTTGTTTCCTCAAAGACTTTCAAAAAATGAACACGGTAATGTATAATCTCCAGCCTATAGACAATATTTTCCTGTTCTTGTAATCAGTCTCGTTGTAAGTGTCAAATTCGGGAAAAGATCTTTTTAATTTTCTTAGAAACGTCCACACATTGATTTGAAAATCTTGCTTAAAAATTTTATCTGCATAAATGAGCATCACAGTGCATTAGAGTTAGCATAGTGTACAATTTCAACAAGGGATTTGCTGAAAAACCCTCCTGGTGAAAAATATCTATCAGGCTTTTTAAGAAAAGCAAGCTATAATAAATATAATTACTGCAGCGTTTGGACCGTAAAGCAGCCCAGTATGTTATATCTACAGACAAGAGCAAAAGTGCAGATAAGACGGAC